AAATTTCGGTCGTTTTGCAACAACCATCGAATACTTACGATGGTCATTTTTTCGGCATCTTGGTAAATTGTGAGGTCACATCGAAAAAGATCATCACTTCGTCTGGTTCGATCTTCAGTCCTTTGATGCGTTCCGGGAATGCCGCGGGATATTTTGCATCACTTTGGTTCGCAGGTAGGGATGGACGTAGTAGCTGGAAGAGTTACCTTGCGAGATTGTAATTGGGAGCTGTTGTGGATGCGACAATGGGTCGTAGTGGTACATGGAGTTTGTACACTTTCGATGTGTTTGAATCGTCCATATTCTTCATCTGTTTCTTGTTGTTCTTGAGAATAGAAAAGGATTCCTCACCTGCTTCACGGGGTTCCCGTTGACTGGTTGGTAAGTTTATTTATCTTCGACGAGGTGTTTTATCTTCTGTGTCCAGCAGTGCGATTGCACTTCCCTTATCTATCGCAAGAATGACTACATCGGAGTCTTTTCTCCGCGATTTCAATACTCTCATTTCGGCATCAGGGACATGTATATATACATATAACGAATGGAAGTCACCTGCGTTTTCCGACAAATGGCACTCAACCAACCCATCAGTGGGGATAAACCAATACACGTACTGTCCACATATTCAATCCGCAAACGCTTGTCTTTTCTAGTGATGGTCAGCTTCACTGTCGTCTGTCTTCGTAACACATCTACACTCGTACGGTCTTTTGTGATTCGTCACTCTTTATCCCGGGATTTAGGTTCCCGGTTCCCATGACTGAACCGTTTATCCTCGTGACCACAGAATTTACCCACTTTGTCACTTATTACACGACAATGTGTTGTAAAAAATTAATTAAACACTGAACTAACAATTAAATGAACACATTCGTGTAAGCCCACTCAGAGATTTATTCACGGAATCAACTAGAATTCGACAAACGAACTCTTCAAAAGGGGGTCGTAGTGAGCACAGTTTGATCCCTCGTTTGGGAACTTCATGGACTACACAAACCAATCCCATGGCTGGATGTAGTTTGTTCAGTTAGGCGTGCTCCCTAAGACCTGATGCAAGATACATAGGCGCGACGAGGTGCGCTCCCCTTCTAAATCCATCCGGGCTGAAATTCGAAGGCTAAAGACTTTGGACGCTCGTGCTCAGCTTGACAACAAAGGTCGTCGGGAGACCTGGCAAGCCCTCGTGTGAATTTCTGGCATCAAATCCTCACACCGCGCACCTGCTGTGGTGGACATATATGGTTTGAATCGGAGTTTCATCAATCGCTGTACCTAATGGATATCAAATAAACATGACTGATCCTGTCGCCAAAGTTACATCTGTCGATATTTATCAAGAGTTGGCTCGATTGAATCAATACACGTCCTGCGGCCCCGACGGAGTCTCATCCGTTATCCTGAAAGAACGTGCTGCCTTCCTTTCCCCTGTACTGCGTGAACTTTTTAGTGATTGTATTTAGCAGCAACGTATATCCGACTGCTGGAGAATAGCCTCTATCACCCCAGTACCGAAGAAAGGATCCTCGAATTGCCGTCCCATTGCCTGCACCTCAGTTGTCTTGAAGATGTTCGAAAGGCTCCTCCGTAAGACCCTGTCCACACAATTCAATGTTGGTGACCCGGACCAGTTTCCGCGGTACCCTGGATGTCCGTGCTTACCTGTCCCACTTTGTTTTATGAAACCTGGATAAGAAAAGAAAAGCTGTACGCATGTTTTCTTGATTACAGTGATGCTTTCAACACAATTGATCGACAAATTTTGCTAAATACACTCTTTTGGGGTGGAACTCAACCTTCTATGATTGAACACTTGGCCAACTATTTCTCCAACCGTCAGCAGTTCGCAC